TTTTTATATGTGACTTTAATTTTGTAAACTTTTTTTTTTTACACATAACTTTATTACTATCACATGGGCAAGCAAACCCCCTGAGTGATAGCACTGATACAGTGACAGGTCCTCTTTATGGAGACGTCATGGGGTCAATGGGACATTAGACCCATAATGTCACCTATAGACCCCAAAAAAGCTGACGAAGCAGAAATCGTGCTCCACCAGCTTCTTCTCCGACTACAGCAGCCAGGGAAATGACAGGCTGAAACTGAAAGTGATGTAATACACATCACCCACTTTCAGTGATCGGAGGGGAGATCAGCCACTGAAAGTCTGCTAATGTCCCTCCGATCAAAGTAAACAGGCCTGCCGTGCTGAACCTGGGCCCACACAGGGGACAAAAGAGCCCTGGATAGGCAGAGCGCACCCTACCTGGCATCATACAAGGGATGTACACATACAGGTGAAACTCGAATAATTAGAATATTGTGCAAAAGTAATTGCAGTAAGTGCTGCAAAAGGGGCCCAAACCAGGTACTGAGTACATATGCATGCTTGTACTTTTCAGAGGTCCGATATTGTTCTATGTACAATCCTTGTTATATTGATTGCATGTAATAATCTACTTTTTTGAGGTTGTGGATTTGGGGTTCTTGGGGTTTTCATGAGCTGTAAGCCATAATCATCACAATTATGACAAATCACGGCTTGAATTATCTTGCTTTGCATGTAATGAGTCTATCTCATATATTAGTTTCACCTTTTAAGTTGTATTAGTGAAATAAATGAACTTTGCACAATATTCTAATTATTCGAGTTTCACCTGTACTTGTATTTAAAAGCCATCGCTGTCTGTTTACAGTTTCAACATTTCCTGCTCACACTAGCGTGTGGGGTAAGTGCTGAGAGCACGTATGAGCGGGAAAAGAATTAAAAAAATGTCCACCCATCCCGAAGTTAAAGCCATCCGATGTGTAATTACAACAGCTGGACAGCAAGCAGTTAAAAGGTAGCTTCCCATGTCATCTCCTGAAAAGCTGATTTTTCCTTACTTCATAGCCAAACCCTGCAACTACCATTTCATATGTCCAAAGTAAAGCCAGTACGGATTATCTTATTTGTTCAGAGCAATGGAAATCTGCAAAGCTTTGTAATGAAGTTAGGGAAGTCAGGCCCCAGTAAAAAAAAATAAAGATAATAGCATTGACAATGGTTAGAACTTATTTTCCCATCATTTTCTATCCCTTCCCAAAACACTTAGGGGTCTATTCACAAAGCTGCCGAGGGCAGCCGAGTGAATGACCGATCAGAAGTGAAGTGAGCCGAACACTGTTCGGCTATTCACTTCAGGCTGGTACGGCTGATTTCAGCCGTACATCGGCTGAAATCAGCCGTACATCGGCTTGCTTCGTGTGGCTTCGGATCAGCCGAACATGCTTAGCATGTTCGGCTGACCTGAAGTGCAGAAGGAGTTCGACTCAGCCGATCCAACATCTGGATCGGCTGAGCCGAACCTCCGGCAGGCTTCACACTGCTGTTCGGGCTATTCTGAAAGATCCCGAACAGCAGTGAGAGAATAGCCGAATGCCGCCGAGCGGCATTTGGCTCGGCTGTTCTGCTCGGTCCCTCAGAGGCACCGAGCAGAACAGAAAAAGAGTGAAAAAAGTAGAAAAAAGTTAATAGAAAACGATTGTGCAGAGCTAGCAGTGACAGCTAGCTCCGCCCAATAGTTTCCTATTGTCCGGCGGCTCTGCTGCTGTAAAAAAAAAAAAATAAAAAAAATCCCCCGGGCGCTCTGGGAGCCCCCCGCTCCCGGCCGCCAAGAAGAGAAACCCCGCTGTGTTTTTTTTTTTCTTTATTCTGACACGAGCATGTCAGAAAAAAAAAAAAAAAAAAAAGACGAATTCCCATTCAAAAGCATTGGGAGTTTACTATTGGCTATTTCAATTTGCAATAGCCAATAGTAAACTAGCATTGTACCCGCCCTCTGCTCATGGACCTGATGGGGAACTGAAAAAGAGGGCGGGTACAATGCTAGTTTACTATTGGCTATTGAAATTGAAATAGCCAATAGTAATGTCCCAATGCTTTTGAATGGGAATTTTTTTTTTTTTTTTTTTTCTCTATTCTGACATGCTCGTGTCAGAATAAAGAAAAAAGACACAGCGGGGTTTTTCTCCTTGGCGGCCGGGAGCAGGAGACTCCCGGGGCGCCAGGGAGAGTTAGATGTTTGGAGATCAGTGTCCCTGGTTAGCAACCAGGGACGCTGATCTCTCTGAAAGTGGCCGGAGCCAGATCAAGGCTGGCTCCGCCCAGCTGTCAGAAGCAGGCTGTCGGCCGGCCAATGGCCGGCCGCTCGGCCAGCTTCGGCTTTCAGCACGGCTCAGCGCTCGACTGAGCTGCTCGGCCGTGATCGGGAGCTGTACGGGCTATTGTGAATAGCCCGTACAGCACCCCCTCGGTTCTCCTGAACCGAAGGGGTCCTGGGGCCGAAGCCAGCCGAAGGATCGGCCGAAGCTACGGCCAGATCCTTCGGCAGCTTTGTGAATAGACCCCTTAATATGATATTCCAGTCACCTAATCCGTGATGCTTAGAGGCATATTTTTAGAGAAACGCATCTGACATTCAGCAAAATATTTTCTGCAGGTGAATCTTCCATGTGCATGTATTTTAAATGACAGTGATTGATTCTCTGTCAGAGAATGTTTGTGAAAGTAACTTTCATTGCTGACCCCTTAGCGATTGGTTGATACCAGAGTTGGAGCGGAGGGAGAGAAAGGTGATCAGTCACTGCCGCAGGACCGAGGATCGGGTGAGTCATTATTTTTTCCACCCCTATAGAAAAAGAAGCAGTTGTTCTTTAGTTATTTAGTAAGTTTAGTTTACATTCAACATTTTTAACTGACTTAATTCTGCCTCCTGTCCTTAGAACCATCTGACTAAAAATAGGGTAGAAGTAGCTTTTTTTTTACATCTATAAAGTGGCCTTTCCTCACTAAAGTGGACTTGTTCTTTGCTTCAGAAAAATTATAAAGGGGCTTAAGAAAGAATCTGACAAAAATGGATTTCTTAAAGAAAGAAATGAAAACAAAGAACCTTTTCACTACCAAAGTGTGCAAGACCAGAACAAGAATTATTCTCTCGTAACGAATGGATATACCTTTAGAAGAAAGTTTTTTTTGTATTGTGTATATACAGTGGGGGGAATTTATCAAAACTGGAGCAAACAGAATCTGGAGCAGTTGCCCATGGAAACTAATCAGCTTCTCTCTTCAGTTTGCTCAGTTAAGATGTGAAAATGAGAGAGAGAAGCTGATTGATTGCGGTGCAAATCTGCTCCACATTTTGTCTGCTCCAGTTTTAATAAATTCCCCCCAGTATGTTGAGTTACCTTGAAGTTTTTTGAATTGTTGCTGTGGCTCACTATCAGATATAAATAATAGTAGCCCCAGGATCTGTATTTCACAGTAATTATTTTTTCTCTGATTAGCAGTTGGTGAGAGAGCTCTGAGAGTAGGCCACAATCATTTCAGTGCATCAGACCAAACGGAAACTTGATTTAAAGAGAGATGAACAGCAGAGCATCCCCTATAAATGAGATGACAGTTGCTCAATATGGCTATTTGCAGGCTTGGACAGCTATCTCATGTCTATAGGTCTTGCCAGACACCCTTGACAAACAAATCTCAAAGGTGACTGTTATAAAGTAAATAGTGCTGATTGCTACTGTTAAATTACTGATAACATTGTGGCAGGAGTGTTTTTCAAGAGCTTTCTCTTCTTCATCCATAATATAAAAATGCATATCAAGCCATATGTTCAATGACCAATAACAAGCATGGTGGAGGACATACAGCCTCTAAAGCCTCTAGCCCACATTGATGTGACTATATACTTCAATCTGATCTATTTCACATATATTTCTAAAATAACAGTGCATTTCAGTGCATTATTTTTCGTTTTGGATTGAGTGGTGAAAGGTTAGAATCCCTGTGAGGATTTTATTGCTTTTTTCTCTCTGTATTACTCTCTATTTCTCCTATTTGTTAGTAACCATTGTCTCCAAAACGGAAGTATGGAACATTTTAAGTGTTGAGTTACCAAGACAGAATAGAGGGGACATGTTCAAATGGTGATGCTTGTTGCTGTGACAACTGTGAAGCAAAGGATTTATGTGCCCTTCCTGTTGTGTCCAGGGCCGGTGCTAGGATTGTAGTCAAGGTGGGCAAGGTGCAATTTTGCGCCCCCCCCCCCGATCCCGACCCCCACCCCCTGTAAAAACAGGGCATTTTGACAAGTATTGTACTTGTCAAAATGCCCCGATGTTTGCGCTATGGTTTTGTTTTTTTTCACTTACCTTCGGTGCGGAGAGCAGCGGCAAGTCAGCGCTAGTCCTGTGGGAGGAGCTCCAGGTGGGGTCCTAATTTAGCTGGCCGGCGACTATTGTTTGCAATGATGCATGACCAAAAAGCCTGAAGCAGCTGTATGCAGCTTGTAATAAATCTCTCTATAATATTAGGCTATAATTGCACTATATACCAGCGGTTCTGGATGTGCATCTGGCTGTTGGGGTGTAAAGAAATTAATTGTCTGGCTCTGCCTACTGTCCTAAAATGAGGAATAATTCTCTTATTTGTGGACATGTGATGGAATAAGAAGGTTTAACTGTGCTATACCCTGATTGTGTTGCAGGGCTTTTTGATTTCTTTAGTTCCTTCTCACCATGATTATACTGTCTCTATAAAAGTGTTTCAATAGCCAATGTAATTTGATTGTTAAAATCAATTTCTTTTACATCATGTTTTAGAGATGAATAACAAAAAGAGACATTTTCTTATGCTGTGGCTGTTTTTTTCTTATCTTAGCTACAGATATCTGATAAAATATTGTTAGCTATCCAACTGTTGGCAGTTATCAGATTCTTGTGAGGACCGTTGCAGGATAATTGAGTGATGATAATGATATCATTGCTATGGAAAATGTATTACCCATATATATATATTGTGTTGTCCACGGCTCATGTCAGAGCTCACTTCTTAACAAGAATCATTCAGGTAAGCTCTGCATTCAAATGAACTTTAATCTAAAAATAGCAAATAGATGTATAACATTTAACCTATACAGAAGGGCCAAAAATAATAATTTTAATACTAATATAAAGAAATTATCTTTAAGTAACTGTCTGGCTAGTTTAGCGGTGGGAAAGCATTTCTGTCTGTGTTCCTGCTGGGGAGGTCCTTGGCCATTATTTTCACTGGGAGAGAAAGAGACGGGAAATCCAAAATTATACATCTGTCACTGAACCGGGAAGTTAGGGTAGATGTTTCAAAGCAGACAACTTTCAAGTGACAAATGTCTAAGATGGGATTTCCTTTTCCTTTGGAGAGATATCAACTTAATTTCTGCTGTGAAGAGAAACAAGGGTAAATATCTGAGTTCATTGAAAGTAAAGGATTCTGATTACTGAAAATTTCTGTCTGAGCATAAATAATTTTGAAAAACACAAAATCATCTCCTTTAGTCTTGTTTAATCCATGTAAGGGATTGTTTGGGGCAATCTTAGTGATTTATTGCAGTTGTCTGTTTGTTTTTTTTGCATTTAGTAGTGTGGAATGTTTAGAACCTCGGTTTTAAATGCTTTGTCCCAGAATAGGTGAATTGTTGTCAGATTTTAAATGTTGCCTGTATCTCCACAAAGGAGATTTTGCTTTTTCTTCCTTTTTGTCTGTTCCCTTGTACCTGGACAGGAAGTGAGGTGAAAGCTCCATCATAGGGGCACACACAGCAGTAAATGCTTGACCGAGGTTCTCAACCTTTCTCAACCTTTCTTTTCCTTTTTTAATGTATTTTATATTTCCTATTGTTTCTTACATCTGCAAAATAAACAGGAAGTAAGTAATAACAGACATGGACAGCAATAAAAACTTGACAGACGTTGACAGAGGTTTTAATCCTTCAACACTCCATCCACAATTGTAAAGGTGTTGCCTGTAGGTGATGTAGGGCGTGTAGGTGTAACTACTTCAGCACTCAGTGTTATTTATCCTATGTATACTAGAGTAATTGTTACATTCTATTGGCCCATTGCTTACCAAAGTACGCTCACAGACTTAAAAGGGAACTAAAGCCAAACCCATGTTTTGTCTTTATTCCTCTTTTTGGGTCACAGAAAGACATTTACTAATGTACGCCTGCAACACAAAGTAGCACACAGGAATACATTAGTAAAGCACAGAGCCTCATCGCAGCTGGGAAAGATCCTGACAATATTGTCAGGATCCACCCACTGCCTGATTGACAGCCTGCTCTGCTTCTCAAGAGCCAGAGCCAGCTGTACCCACCCCTTCCACTGTCTGTCCCTCCAATAAGTGCTGGAGGAACAGAGAGAGTGGAGGGGGAAATCCCTGAGGGGAACGGTGACTGACAGTCACCTCTCTCTGCAGGGAGATGCCTGAGCTGAGCGATCAGTGGTTCATAATCATTTAGCTCATGATTTAAAGAGCGGGAGTGTGACAGCTGCAGTGTCACATGCTGGCTCTAAGTATTAGGAAGAGTAAATTTTACTCTCCCAGAACTTCTCCATTCTCCTAGCTATCATTTCCTTAAATGATAGAAGCAGTTAAAACAAGGTGTAATTATGTTTTCTGTCCCTTTGCCCAGAGCTAACTGATCCCGCCCTCCCCCTTCACAGGTGTATACTTACCAAGATCTGGCTGCCATGCCCTCCGTTATTTATTTACAGCACATGTCACCTTTCTCCTGGCCATGCAGGTGCATAATAACCCCATAGACTTACTTCTATGGTGTTTGTCTACCTTGACTCAGCAGGGAGACAAAGGTAAACATCCTCCATAGACTTCTTAATTCTTAATTCTCATTTATCAAACTTTATTTCCCTCATTATTTCTAAATACATCACCTCAGCCAGTTGCTTGATTTTAATCCGTTCCCGATCTGTTAAAAAAAAACAAAAAACGTTTTAACCTAATATAGTTATGGATCCTAGCCTGGGGCTGACTTGTAAGAAAACTAAAGAAGGTTTATAAAATGCAACAGGTTTTTTTCACTTTAAGCAGTTATTGAGTCTTTGGGGTGTATTTAAAATTATGCAGACCCATTTGTCCTGTCCACAATGTAGTATTTTCCTAATTTTACATTTAGTTTGGAAAGACAATACTGTATACTGTTATGTTTGTTTTTGCCCCAATTCGCACATAACAAATGTAGAGGGAGTTTCACAGGGTAAATGTGTCTGAGATTTTTTATAAATACCCCCCTTGATGTCTTGTCGGTTAAGCAACAAAAGGAGCGAGGGCTGGGTTTAAGATATCAGTTGTCCTTAATCCAGCCCTACATAAGAAAGGGTAAGTCTTACACTTCTGAGAAGCTGCAATGCGGGAATGCAACATATACCTTTCCTTTTAAGTTCTCAAAAGATATCTGAAGCAAAATGTCAAAGTGAAGCAAAATTCAGCCCACAAAACATGCATCCGTATTTTAAATATTGGGAAGAAAAACAGTGGAAAGAAATAATGGCATTTTTTGGTCAGATAAAAAATAGTGTGTAGATCTACCAAAGTGCAAGAAGTAGGTTGACTTACTAAAGATAAATAGGCTGTTCACTTTGCAAATGTTTTTTTTTTTTTAATGTATGATATTATGTTGCCATTTTACATACAAATAGTGCTTTATAGGGTCCCTCATTAAGTTATGTAAACAACAACATGATATTTGCTCTGCCACAATATACAGGAACTGGAGCAGGGATGGAGTTCATCAACCATAAAATATATTCAAATATTAATTCAATCGAATAAGAAAATAATGACATACAGTATATGAAGAGTTTGAATATGTTAAAGTGCCTGCACTCATGTGAAAACACAACTATCATTCTGGTTCTAATTTGCCTGTAAACATTTTACATTTAGGATGCATTTGGATAAGTACCTCCTGGTTTTGTCCGCTGTCATTATTTGTGTGTCTTCTTCACGCTTCCTTAACCAAGAATGGAGTTCCTGGAAAACCAAATACGGTAAGGTATACAAAATATATACAAACGCCAACTCAAAGTGGAATACTCCTAGTTCTGAATCTCAAATTAATGAACTGAATTTACGGTGAACCATTCGGCTCAGCTATTCTGCTTGGTATCTCCGAGGTACTGGGTAGAATAGAAAAGAAGTTAAAAGAATGAGAAAAAAAAACAGTTTCCAAATTATTTCAAAAATGATAACAAATAGGAAATAATGATATGATAACAAATAGGAAAAAAATTAAATATTGAGAAAAATAAATAATAATTAAAGAAAAAATTGGATGGAGCTAACAGTGACAGCTAGCTCCACCCGACTGTTTCCTATTGGCCGGCACTTGCCAGAGTCTTCTAGCAGGTGCTTGCCAATAAATAACAACTGGGTGGAGCCGGCCGTGATGTCACGGCTGCCCAGTTGTTATTGTTTAATGATAGATCAGCGTCCCCAGGTCATTTGGGGACGCTGATCTGTCATTACAACTGGGCGGAGCCAGCCGTGAGATCACAGCTGGCTCCGCCCAGCTGTCATTGACGGGACGATCGGCCGGCCTTTGGCAGGCTGTTCGCCCCACTTCGGCTGTCACTTTGGCTCAGTCAAGCCAAAGCATATGCCTTTGGCTCGGCTCATGTGGGCCGCTCGGCCGCCTTCTACTGCGGTACGGGCTATTGTGAATAGCATGTACAGCAGCCTTTCGGTTCAACTGAACTGAAGGGCAGAGGCAGGCGAAGAGAGCCGAAGGATCAGAGGAAGCTACAGATTGATCTTGTGGCTCTTTGTGAATAACCCCCATAGTGTTTAATGAGTGCTGGCTATTTCCTTCATCTGAACAATAAAAACTTAACTGGGGTTTAAACTCTTCCATGCTCTTTCCAAATAAAGAAAGAGTTTTGGTTTTAGATAAACTTTATAGTAGGTTTTTATATACATTATATGGCATGATAAAAACAAGATGTGCATCACTTCAGGCAGTCAGACTATATACAATCATCACTAGCAAATTCTTGAAGTAAGTCAAAGTAACTCTGTCACTAGTCTAAAAAGTTTAATTAGAGCCTTGACTGTAAAGAAAAGTTTTAATACTTTTCTGTCCATTGCCGTTGATCTTTGCTCTGTTGCAGAGCTACAGTGGTTGTAGAAATTGTAGGATCCATCCAAGAGCATCAGATGTTTGATTCCCCTCTGCGTGCTGTGGTTCCATCTCCTGGCCCCTATGTCCCTACGGGACGCAGTAATGACATAGAAGATGGTGGATGAAACCACAGCATGCATCAGGGACCAGACATCTGAAACTCCCAAAATTGTGTTGGATGCAGAATACTTTATAACCACCTAAGTGACGAACGGTGATGTGGACAGCAGAACAGGTATGTATTTATCTTTAAAACAGTTTAAACAGTTTTTGCTTTAAACAGATGCTCATTCCACTACCATACAGTTCATACAGTTTATATATTCAGTTGTTTTGATTTCACATAGTTGAAATCCTAAACTGATTTGTGCTTTTTAATTACCTTCTTATAGAAAAGAAATATGTCACTTCATATGACGAGGCATTTCGGAGACAGGCCTGGGAGGCAACATGGCACAAGGTACAGAACCACAATCAAAAGTATGAAAAAGGCCTCACAAAATACAGAATGGAGATGAATCATTTTGCAGATATGGTAAGTTTAAACCTGCCACATCTTGGAAAACATGAATTCAATCAATTAGGTAATAGATCCACTGGATGGCAGTTGGGTTTCTAATGTAAAGGAAAAAAGAGCAAGTACAGGCCCAGACTGACAATTTGGCACCCATGGAAATTACAAAGGCCTGGAGTGGCAGAATATTCTTGAATTGGCCACTTATCCTACAGTCAACCCTGTATCATTGTATCTTTACTGGAAAATCACTAATTTACTCAGCAGTGCTGTCAATTCATAAGCATTATCACTGTCAAGTATAAGGCCAACTTGATTGCCTTGCAGCACTAAAAGTGCTGCGTAAATTGTCGGCGCTATATAAATACCTGAAATAAAAAAATTACATACTCAGATGAAGGATAGCATGCTTAATTGCCAGCGCTGCTTTACATTCTCACTTCAACTGTGGTGGTCATAGAAAAAACATATTGTTTAGTCTGTATTTCTTAAGCAATTCTGATCTGGTACCATTTAAATATGAAGATTGGGGGGGGGGGAAGGAAGCAGAGTAATTGCAATTTTTCTTAACAAATTCCTTTACTATCAGGTAACAGATCAAATGTATCCAAATTAATTCTGTCCAGAACTAAAATTAGCAGATATCAGTTGCTGTGTTGGTTCTTATCTGCTATTGTTCTATAGATACTAAAAGGGGATTTTTATACAAAGTGAAAGCTAAAAATATAACACTGCCAGGGGTACTGGGGTGCTTGAGCAGTTGCAACATTTTTAAGATGATTTAATTAATGTGAATAATAGTTTGTTCCAACCCCTGCTACTGTCTCTTTTGCAGAACAGCTTGGTTATGATGTAAATGTGTTAACCATATATGATGTGCCTGACTTTAATACTTCACAGTCCAAAACTCGGAAGAAGAGTTCAGAAAGTAAAAGATGAAGACAATTCATTTGTTTTAGGTCATTGACCTAGAAATTACTGTCGTCGACGCATCAGAATCATAGTCATGGATCTAGCATTCTCTGACGAGGAACTAAATAATGGCAACTCACATATTTCCTATGATAGATTTATTTCAGGTCCATATTTAAACGCCACTTGTAGGAAATCAAATTTCTTTATTATTTTTCTCCAGACAACAGAAGAGCGTAACTCCCGAAACTGTATTTCTAACAGAAAAAAAAGCACCTTGAAGTCAAACATTCCTCTGAAGGCTCATTCAAAAGACTTCCATCTTCCACCAACAGTTGACTGGAGGGAGTCAAAATGTGTTACCAATGTGAAAAATCAAGGTTTATGTGGATCCTGCTGGGCATTTGCTACGGTAATTAAAATAATCTCCTGTTAGGCTTTACAACAACCCATTAAACTGAAGCAGTAGGCACATGTACAGTCAGTGCTCACAACATATGTTGGGCTGATTTCCCGGTGTGGGGATACCCCCTAATTAGAACTCAGTCAGAGTGGAAACTGCAGGTAGCCACTGGCTGCTTCTAGGTGTTACAGTATACAGTATAGCTACTTGGTCCCTCTTCTGACCTGTAATCATTGAACCTGGTAAAGGGAAGTGTTCCATTACTGACTATTTTTTGGGCTCTGAGATACTATAAAACTTAATGCAGACAGCTGCAAATGAATTCAATGCTGCAAGAATACAAAACTATGAAATGCATTAAAGGACACTTTATTGAAAGGATTATTTTTGCTGATGACATAGTATTTTAATTTATTTAGTATTTTATTTAGTGAGTCCATAACATTTTCTCTGAACAGAAGTCATCTTGTTTATCTCATAAAGTGCCGTAACAACTCAACTTTACACTACTTAGTTTGCAGAATATAAATGTACAAAGGTGTGTTACAATAAATAATGTTCTGTATGACAACACCCGCTTTTACTGCAACACAGAAGACTCAATTTACTAAACTATAACACAAGGCTAAGGAACTTTATTTTAGTTTTATGTTTTTGTTTTTTTTATAAGGATCCTTATCCTGGTGTGTTAGCAATGCCAATTGAGTCTGTTGCATGGTGCACATTTAACTCAAAGGAAACTGCCCCTACCATTAAATGGCTACTTAGCTGTGTTTGCATTCAAAGACAAAAGGTCCTCCCATGTTTACAGGTGTTAGAATTCAACTTCTCCTTGGCCATTTTGCCAGCTCCAGTTTAAGGCTGGTTACAGGTTGGTATAGGTTTCATATACAGTTCTATGTATAAGGGTAACCCCCAAGCCTGCTGACCAGGCACTCTCGGGGTAAACTAGAAAACATTCAAGTTATAAAATCTACTTTCAGTTTACTGTTATTGTATTTGGGGAGGAGGAGGCTGTTCAGATCAGGGAGGGGAGACAAATAGAATTAGTGAACTTTGTTTGAAAGTGTACATATCCTGTAAGCCTGTGTCTGCAACATTTGCTCCTTTCTATTCTGACAAATGTATCTGTCATGGAAAATATATAGGGTCTGCCAATGCTGACCTTGTTCTAAAAATGCTGATTGCCTGGAGTTTTTGTTCACTCTTGCTTCAGTATTTTGAGTCCCAAACCCAGAACAGTATGCAGAAGAGAACTTCTAATTTGTTTAGATTTTCCTGATCTGTATACTTGTTCTGGGTCAAATACTCAACAAAAGTATTAGAGCCAAAGAGTCAGCATGACAGCAAGGCAATTCAGAAATTAACTTTAGCAATGGAAACCATAGACTCCAGGTCATGACAGTATGGCAATAATGACTACGAAACCAATCTATTGTGTAATTAGTTTTTCTGCCTTTGCAGACTATTCATTATTGTAAGGTAACAGTTTCATAAGTAACCCTTATTTTCATATCCTATTTTGTGGTTGAAGGTGGGTGTGATTGAGACCCAAAACTGCATTAAATCCAAACAGCTTGTTGAACTGAGTGAGCAGCAGTTTGTTGACTGTGACAGTACAAATGACGGTTGCTGTGGGGGAATTCCAGCCAAGGCATTGGACTATGTTACACATTACGGTGTCATGAAGGCTAAAGACTATGAATATAGTGAAAAGGTAGGAGCCTTAAATATGACTGTTTTTCCTCCAAAGTTTTGCTTTAAATGACTAAACACTTTATAAGCTAGATCTAAAACCTTACCCCTATATATAGTGGGTGATAAGGCATAGCTTTTCTCAGGAAATTAAAGATGGAACTATGAAATTACAGTCTTTAAGAAGAGAAAATAATTCATATAATCACTCAATTTACACGGCAGACCTATAAGTCAGTTCCCCACCCACTGTATGTATAGAGCACTCACACATTCCTTTGCTGAATACCCACCCATCAAAAATACTGTTTTGGACTGATAGGCCTCATGAGGACAAGGTTGGTAGTTCTGGTCAGCATTTGAAGCAGCTCAGGGATGTGTCAAATATGGTATTACTCATAAGACCTTTGAAGGGAGTTATTTCCTTATGTCTTATTAATAAGTCTCCTTATTATTACTGCATTTTTCTGTGAAATAAAACCATGAAGACAGCAGTAGGAATCCGGCTATGCTATTCGAAAATTTGGTTGCCCTTCAACCAACTTGTGTTGGTGTGTATAAAAAGTTAAAAACTCAGATCAGTTCAGATCCCGAATTGTTTTTCCAATAAATGTATGCAGTGAGATCACAAAACATTGTTATACACCATTCTCACCGTAGTGCATGATCACTACACCTTCACAATGACACCATTCCTAGAACTAAACCAATTACTGTGTTGCTTTAATGTAGGATAAACTCCAGACACATGTTAACAAAAATATTATATCAATAACCTTTATGCAAATTTGGTTGTCAGTGAAACCCCTAAAAAAAAAAATATAGATGTCATGATTTTCTTTTCCCATATTTTCCATGTCATCTTTTTAGCAATCTGCCTGCATGTTCAAAAATGATGATGCTTTAAAATTTAATGTGAGCAAATTCTATGTTCTGCTTGGAGAAGAAAACATGGCATCATCGTTAGCGCTTGATGGACCTATTACAGTTGGAATTGATGCAAGTGAAGATTTTCAGCTATACAAAGATGGTATGTTGCAACTGACAAAAGTAAAGTATACATTACATTATGTTAACCTCTCCACAGAGCACAGGCAAAGACATACGTTGATTGTGACCCAGTCTGGCCAGTTATGATTGTAAATTGTACATTTATGGATATCTGCAACTTCCGCAGAGATCCTCTGGCTGAATAAGTGAGCCAGCTTGGAGTTTTCAGACTGATCACCATGGTTTTACCTGAGCTAAGCCAGACACCAGTCCAGAGGTGTCCTCTTCTCTCCTTTCATACTTTGGCATTGGCACAAACATGAAAGCATTGGTTGATTGAAGCATGCACACTTGATGCATGCAAGATGTTTTTGAAAAAAGCATAATTACTATTGCTTGGTGAGTCCACTCCATTAATTTTGTATAGATGTCTTTTGCTGACCTTGTCCGTGCTAACCTAAACTGCTCATATGCCCTTATGCCCGCAGTGACCTCAGCCTCTTTGTTACTTTTGTCTTCAACCTTGCCACAGTTGTCTGGTCTCCTGGTGTTGACCTTTAGTCTGTCTTCAGGTATGCTTTTTCCTATGTTCAGCACTCTGCCTTGACCCGTTCAAACTGTCAGTGGCATGAGTGAACCTATATGCCATGGCTTTTACTCTGATAGTGCCTTCTACACAAGTTCCAACCACACCAACAGTGGCTCTGTTGAAGACTGGGTACTCATAAGGTAATTTACTCTGTAGATCCCTTTTACCATGTTGCTGGTGGTCTGGGTACATTATTTACCATGATGCTTTGTCTGCATAGATACTAAAACCAGATGAGAGAATATTTACACAATTTCACCATTGCTGCCAATATTTTCCACTTGCTTTCCAAAAACACAAACAAAATACTTGATGGTTTTATCACCACAGTTCCTCCTCTTCCTTTCAGGCATCATTTAGTAGCAAATAAATATTTAAGCCATAAATGGCTGAGATCTAATTGTGAGCGGAGTTGGGAGCAGCACATTATATATCATACGGGAGCAAAGGTGATGTCTGGGGGGAACCACAACTGTTATACCAGGTTTGGAAGAGCTCTTTGGTAGACCACAATGACTGTGACGTGTTGACCTTGGAATTCCATGATGGTCATCTTGAAGACCTTTTGATAACAGACCCCATAGGTACACACAACCCACAAACCTGCAATACAGGGAGTGAAATTCCACAAATCAATGTGTTTTTTACAGTTAATCCTGCAGACAGCTGTGTTGTGGTGGTGTTACTTGCCTTTGGTATATTCATGAATAAAATTCTATACATGATTTAGTATAGAATAGTACTGCAGAGCCTTGAAGGGACTTGCATTGAGCATTTGGTATACATACCATTGCACAAAACACGTTTGTTAAAAAAAAAAGCAAGAACCAAATGCCTGCCTTTGCTTTGTTTGTTAAAAATGCTTCAGTTGAAAATAAACTGAAACCACTGATTTTTTTTCCCACTCTCTACATTTATATCAGGTATTTTCACTGGAGAATGTACTGAACAGCCAACTCATGCAGTCATTATTGTAGGATATGGTACAGAATATGATAAAGAGGAGGGTGCGGAAATAGACTACTGGATTATAAAAAACAGGTATGTTTCTTAGCTAAATGTTCACAATAACCAGACATTTTTAAAAAAACTGACATTTTCTAAAGCTCTAGGCATAGAAATCTGACTGATTTCATCTTTCAGGAGAAATAAAAATACTAGTAAAAACAAAAAGTTTCTGGTTTCCCTATAGCCAATAAGTATGTGTGTTGCTGGTAGAATATTTTCTATATGTTATGAATATGATTATGTTTCCTCTCACTTAAAGTATATCGAAACCTAAGATCAAAAATGTAATATATTACAGCTTGCTAGTCCTTAGATGTGGTGGCTGCATTCGTTTTCTTTTTTCAGGCTTTTTTTCCCCATACCTGGTGATTCTGCAAATAACACATTTCCTGCCCTACTGTGACAACACTCACTCACCTTACTATGGTTATGAAGGGCCATGTAGATGTATATAACTCTACCACCGATGACTGTAATGTCTTCTGAATAACACATAAACCTTTACATGGTCAGTTTTAGAAAACATACATAGGGCTCACAAATCAGGCTCATAAGTGAACAATCTAGGACAACATAGCTGAACTTGAAAGTGAGCTGAATTGGAGAATTTTTCCAAATCAGCTATGTTGTCCTAGATTGATCACTTCTCCTGCCTTCTCAAAACTCTTCACACTTTTGTGAATAACCCTGTTAGTTGCAAGAACCAACTAGTTCAATCTGTGCTTCAGTTTCTTTTCACAACTATGCAAGCACACAAATAATTTTGTATCAATGGCCTGCCAAAATATTATATAAGAGATGCCCCCAAATTAAATGTAACGTTAGATCATTATAAGGGTGCCCCTACCATCATCTAGCTTGTTCTCATGTATGTAGGTTATATAAGAATGACTTGTTTCATATGGTACATGTTTAACATCTAGTACTTGCTGCCAGGAGTTTGCAACTTTAGGTGGCATTGAATGAACAGATGTCTTATTGAAAAAAAAAGCAGGTTGTAAGACATTACCCCACCCTCAGGCAAGTCTAATGAGATTAAAATCTGTTTCAATCTTATTCCCAATGGTGAATTTAGAGATAACTGGTAATAACTATAGACAACTGTGTGGTAAGTTGAAAGAAACACTTTTTTCTCTTTTTTGTTTCCTTTTCTAGCTGGGGAGAAAGCTGGGGAGAGAAAGGTTATGCAAAGATGCAGCGTAATGTCAACTTGTGTGGTATCACCTCAATGGCAGCCTCTGTGGACTTCGTCTAGTGGTTGCTTAGCATCATCCACTGAAGAAATAACAGAAAACTGTAACCCAGAGTATTATATTGTACCATGAAGATCATTGTATCAAGTACTGACTATAAGTTATATGTTATTTCTGTACTGCCTACCAATATGATATGTTCAGTATTGTTTACTGTAATATTCAATTGCTTGCAATTTTGTATATCAAAATAAAACAAAGATGCAGATTCAAGTGTTTCAAGGTTGCTCAATCGTTTGGATCTTTGTAACAATCTCTGCTCAGCACTGTACTTTTCAACCCAGCATGCAGAAGACACGTTTGTAAATAAAATAGATTTTTTTCCCATACTGTATATTTGTAACTTGATGGGATTTTTTTAAGATCATATTCAGATTACACATGCCAATGGATCAGAACCGTATTTGCCGGCGATATACTCGTCTTATACGACGAGTATAGCCCAAAACCTATATTTTAACACAAAAAGTAGGGGGTCGTCTTATACTCCGAGTCGTCATATACGCCGGCAAATACGGTATATAGAATTGTACAACACATTGCAGTTCAGGTACTCTAACCTTCCAACTCATGTGATCAATATTGTTGTGTAATTACTGGTGCAGAGTGTGTGTGTGTGTGTGTGTGTGTGTGTACGCGCTCCCATAATGCAGACACCCTCAGAGATTTTGCACAGTTCATCTCATATTTAGAATTCATGATCAGTAGTGTATGGGAACCTTTGATGTTAAATGAATTGTAAGAAAAGGTTCCACTGCTAAGTGTCAATGTGGCATTTTTTATGGCACCCTAACTGTCATTAAATTGTGAGTAAAGTGGGGTATCTAGGGGGAAAAAAGCCCCCCAGTGTTATTTACCATACTGTGGGACTTACCCTGAAAAAAATCCCATCCCCAAAAAAAAAAATTGTTCAGTGGGTGGCCCTGTTGGCACCCTTATGTCCAGGATCCTTCACT